ATTTAAGGCTTACTACCCCATGAGATTGACCCGCAAGTGGATGCTCAACTCGACGAAGAGCTCATACATCTGCCCCAGATCGGCGGCGTTGCCATGGGAGTAAAGCAGAGTGGAATTAGCCATGGGGTGTCTTATGTACATCGCCACTACCTCCGTCCCCTTTCTCGTCGGCAGCTTCAGGATTTCCACGTTTTCCCGATGCGGGAAAGTGCTCAGCAGCAGCAGACCCGTCATTTCGTCTGCCACCAGCTTGTACGATGGTGGGTTCGGCGGAAAGAAGGCCAATTTCGCCGCCATGGATGAAGTAACCCCTCCCATCTCCCTCTATCTACACTCTGTTCCCCTCCCTCCCCTGTTTCTACCCAACTGAACTTGCTCTGTTTCTCTCCTTCCTCCAACAGAGCAGAGTTTCTTCACTGTTCATCAAAACGAAAGGGGAGGAAGAAAGAAAGAGAAGGAGGAGAAAGGGGAACCAAACATCCCAAAGGTTTCCAGAAGAACAAACAGACCTTCTTTTTCTTCCTTCTTTTTTTCGCTGCCGAGGAAAAGTAAAGGCAGCAGGGGAAGTTCCTTTTCCCTTTTGTCTATCTGCTTTTATTGGATCCCTCGGCTGGTCAGAAGAATGTGGCTGGGTGCTATGTTAGAAAACCCAATTATAAAGCCCAAGTCCCATGTGAATAAAGGTGGTGGATTGGGGGTTGCTCTTCTCTCTTCTCGGTGTGTAGCTTTGTTGGGATTGATGATTGGATGCCATTTTGAATGGGTGAAAACAAAAAGAATTTGGAGGGAGTGACTAAAAGTGAATGAGGGAGTACATCAAGTTTCCGCTATAAGAAAATTGTGTTTGATACAACTTTGGGAATACTATGAGTAGGTCAAGTATGTAGATTTGATATTGATAGAGAGCATTTCGAGTTTATAATTTCGAGAGCTTGAAAATTATAACTTATTTTCTTATTTTAATTTTATATAATGATAATTAATTGTTGGCTCCAAGGTTTTTACCTATTGTATAGTGGTTGTTATCATCCACATCTCATCTTAATGAGATCTATTTGAAGAGAATACCCTTTATGGTGAGAATTTAGATAAGAGCTTCGAATACAATGTTTAGAAAGAAATGAGAAATCTATGGAGTGATCCTATTTCAACTTTGTACTCAAAATCAAATAGGGTTTGGAAATTCTCTGGCAGTTAAACAAACTCCTATTTCAATATTTTAAAAATACCTGGATAAAATTTGTGTGGCGTGAGGGTGAAGGAAGGCTAGCTGCCTCACATTCTCGTAGGCCTCTCTTTGTGGCTATGGGATGGGAGAATTGTTTGGCACCAACAATTCCAAATGCTCTCAATACATAAATTGCCAGTGCCACACAAACAAGTCGACCTGTTCATCACAACTCAAGGCTGGTAAGTAACCCGTTTGTGCTCTGAATGTGAAGGGAGTTGAATTTTTACCGCGGGTAAAAAGAAAGGTAAAGAGCTTCCTATTTTCCAATCCCTATGAATCTCTGAATCGATAATCTCCATTTTTTCGTAATGCCATGCACGTGCCCTCCAATTCCTCCTAGGATCTTCCCTAAGACCAAGAACACGTACCCATCATAGGTGGTTCATATCGTACTGTATGAATCTATTTTATGTAGTGATTAAAATATGTATATAAATTAAATTGAAATGCTATTATTTATAATCTTGTTACTCTACTGTTTTAGTTATACTTTGAATAGTTAGTCTCATTAGTGGATAAGATTTCATAGTCCATCTTGACTCCATGACTAAATTATGTAAGTAAAACTATGCATACTTTTATCAGTCACAGAAGTTTTAATTGAGTACTAATTTATATATAATAATAACAAGACCTGGCCCCAAATTCCCCCTAGAGATAACATGGGAGGGAACAAGAAATGGGTTAATTGCAAATCGATGATGAAGGGAAAGGAACAGATTAATGGGTAATCATATGAGTTCACTTCATTAGTCAAAACTAATCATGTTGATGGGAAAGCCCTATTCCCATATAAAAAGTGTCCATCTATAATCGTGGGATGTTTGCAGGCAAAATTGACACTCATTAGAAAGCAAAATGACAGAAATATGAGAAGTGATGGTCTGATGTGGCAATTTATCCTATCATCTTCTTTTCTTTCTTCTTCGATGTCTTCAAAATGAAAGATAACTCATGAATTTGAAGTTTATACTCATCATACTTTAATTTTCAATTAACTGTGAATATTAAGAATTGTGGGGGATTGACAAGCCAGTAGCTAAGCAAGGTACATCATCAGTAAGTATACTAAACGTGATCTCTCTGGCTGGTGGAGCTTGGTCAAAACTTCTTTAATTTAGCCACACTCGTCATCAGTAATTACTAATTAGACTTTGCTGCAGTTGGCTGGCCTTTAATTTGCTGCGTCTCCTTTCTCAGGTAGGCCGTAGGCAGCCAGCAGTGGGCCTGAAAGTGGTTCAAGAGATTGGGGAAAGAGGCAGGCCCAAGACGGATGAAAATACAGACTAAATTTTCAGATTCAGCCCGTATGGGGAAAGCCTACCTGTATCAACCAAAACTCATTGAATACGCATGTTTATTTTATCAAAGTATTGACAATAAGTGAAATTGCAGCCAGAAATTCATTTAACCTGAAATTTATTTAAGGTAGGTTAAATGTGAAAAAATAATATTGTGTCTGTTTCCAGTTTCATAATGTGATCGTGTTTTAAAAGTTTTTTAAATTACAAACATTAAATTTATGATGAATGTTAAGATATTACACCCAAAAATCGTTCATATATGATTTCTACAGGGTTTCGACCCCTCTGACGCTTGCTAGTCTGTTTACACCCATCGCTACTATTTTTGACTCATGGTAGAGAGTATAAGGAATCTTAGAACAAGATTGGAGAAAGAAACTAAATAGTTAAAATTTCTATTAGAACGAGATTTCTAACTTTTGAAAAGATATTGCCCAGTAACTCTCATAGCTAGATTGTCTCCTCCAACGTGGTATGTTTGATCAATTTCCTCTATGATATCCAAGGCCTAATTGTTGGACTGCATCTAATCTATCACACGCACGCAGCTTGTTGGCAATCGTTGCCTCATCATCATTTCCAGTTTTTGTTTTTGCTTCATATGTTACCATCTGTCTCACCTCTTCCTTTAGAACTTCATATATATTAATTGTGGGTGTTTTTGTTTTGCCTAAAAATTTGTGGATTTAAAAGTGATAACGAATCAAAAATAATTTTATCTAAACTTTTATTCATGATAAATCCGCATCATCTTTGAAGTCCAATTTAAGAAAGTTATATGAAATTCATATCAGACCATATGAAGAATAATATATCTTTGAGCATATATATAAACCTATAGGTGTGACATATTTTGTGTGCACTTCAAACTCACGTCTGGGAGAGCTTTCGAGCATTAAAGTGATCCACATGCACAAGGGTGATATGGTGGGTGCATTATCATGGTATCTCTCAACAACGTAACTCGAGCAGTAATAAAACAAATATAAATTAGTTTACCGATCGATGGCCCCCAAACTGTGCTAGGGAAGGTTACCGATGAGAACCGATCCACTGCGCCGCCAAGTTGGAATGGCTAAATGGGTGGAGTTTTCTTGCAATCCCGTCCGAGACTGAGAGCCGCCGCCATTCTCGCTGGAGATCGAGACCCACCAGATCTGGGAACGGGAGAATTGTCTATGCATGCAGTGCCAACTCCTCATGAATGGCGGCGGCTACTATGGAGGACTGGCGGTAGATCTGGAATCCGAAAGCTCCATGACCGTCGCCGGTAGTGTTTTGACTGTCGCCAACATCATCGTCGTGTTCGTTTGCAGGGAAGAGTGAGACGATGGATGGGGACAGAGGATGTGTTCACCTCCATGCCGACTTCATTTCTTTCAATTTGTATTATTGATTACCGATTAAATGAAATAATCTACGTGATCTTGACTTACCAAGCAAAGAAATCTGATGTTCCCATATCCCACCAAATTAAAGGTGTGCGCTTTCCTAGGATTTGGGCGAATTCTAACACTGGACATCATGCAACGACGTGAATGAGTGTTCGCTAGCTACTAGATATGCATTCTTTTCTTTGTACCAGAACTAAGGAATCGGCGGACCATCTCCTTCTTCAACCTTCACTTTGATTTTGCTCAAAGGGTTACAAACTCTACTTTAACTTACACAAATATTCCCGACACATTAAACGATCAGAGAGCCTCACTATAATGGTTAACTCTCTTTTAATTTACAGAATATGCCAAGCTAGTACGGTATTCTATTATTTATCCAATTGAATGAGTTATGTCATCATTTTAAATAAAATACTTTTTTTTTTTTGAAGAAAGTCGTTTCAAACACTACTAGTAAATCTAGAAAGCATGTGTTATCCTTGGTATATATCCACTAACGAAGGACTGTTATGAACATAGACTTGGACTATTTTCTTAGATCATATAATTTATAGAATTAGAAGGTATACTACAAGAAAAAACTCCTTTTTGCAACCAATAAATTTGGTCCTAAAAGTCCAAAATTTGTTATTAATACCATATTAGCTGGTCAATTCGATCAAATTTCTTCCTAGTCGCATCAAAGCTTTATTCTCCTAGGTTTAGCTATTGGATTGAAGCATTAAGCACCACTTCTCTCATGATACTGGATGCACTAAGGTAAGGTGCACCTCCATCCATATAATAAATTTTTACATTAAACTTATCAGAGAGAAGAAAATCGACAATATATCATTTTTGTTGATAAGAACGAAAATGGAAATTATTTCAACAACATTAATAACTAAGAAAGGAAAGAAACACAAAAGGGAAGAACAAAAAGCAAGAAGAACAATAGCGTACATCAAGTCCACGATAGAAAAAAAAAAAAAAAACAAGGTACAACAAGAAACATCTTACAAAAGAACCAACAAAGAGCATTGCATGTGAACAATAGGTCGAACATTATTGAAGGGCTAATCGACTTCTTCAAAGAGGGACGGGATCAATGAACAGTGCGGTGAGGTGTTCCTTCAAAAGATGGGAGTTTGTGTAGCGATCACCATTGCGGTTGTCATAAAACAAATTCATGGAACGTGCGTAGTTGATGACACGGTCCTTGAAAACTGTTGGCAGTAGAGTCGGTTTCTGACAGTACTCTCGGGCTATATTTTTCCAAGAGTTAGAAAGTTCATTCAGCAAAAATTCAACCGCTTCTTTATCTGATATTCCGTACTGCTTCATGCAGCACTGAACAGACGAAGGCGCATGATTCCTCTTTTCTTCAAACTGTATAAAAAACCAAGAATTTGTAATATGAGATGCACTAGCCCAACACTCATTTACGTAGTTTGTGAGCCCTTGGTAAGGTAATATACAAAAATAATTACCTTGTATGTGAAAATGTCATTTTGAATCCTACAAATGGCACTGCCAGATCTAAACATTTTGGATTCATTATTTGCCCATTCAAAATCCTCCCTTGTGACTATGTCCGCTCTCATGCCAACAAAAGCAGATCCGCAAACTATGGGCATACCACCAGTCACATATCCGCTCTCGATCAAGTACTCCTCCACTGTCGGAACTTGGCCTTCAGTGCACCACCCATTCTTTTTCAAGTAGGCTCGGGCTAATTTCTTGTACTACAATATCAATATTATATATATAATAACACAAGAGAAATTAACGAACTAATCTTTTTGGTTCACAACCTTATCAATAATGGATCATTATTACCTCTTCCTTAGCATACTCGACAATAAACGTGGATCCTTTCTTTCCAGCTTCCTCTTCAATTTCGTCATACACATTTAGAGTGAGTCGATACATATTCTTCATCCTGTCAGGTAGTTCATCAAGAGCTCTAGCATCCAACCTGATGAAAATATGCATGTACATATGAATATACATTCATACCATCAAAAATTATATATATGTATATATAATTTTATGCGGTAAGAACCTTTCAATAGCTTTCACTAGGGCCTGGACTTCTTCATATGTACCAAAGTTATCACAAGTGTCATTCAAGGTTGTCAACACTATATAGATCTTGGCGTTTAGAACTCTGGCCACACTATATTCGGGCTCAAAGTAAATGCAAAGTATCCAAAAATAACACTCCACGAGTCTGTCTCTTGCGTATGGAAAGTTGGTCGCCCCGTCAATGCTTTTCCACCATCTAAAATTAAAACCAAGCAAGGAAGTCGATTAGTGTGTAATATAGTACAAAGTGATTAGCCCCAATTAATTAGGACTTACTCAGAGAGTTCACGGAGCTCCTGCTTATGGATGCTTTGGACCATGTTGAAGTCCAACTTTGCAAATGTGAGGAGCTTTTGATTCTGCAGCAAAGCGCCCTGATCGGAGTAGAAATCGAGGGAGTGCCTAGCAAGTGACCTTGGGACACATTTCCAAGCAGGAACAAAAAGGGCAAAGTCTATTTGCCTTTGAACTGCATTGCTGATATTCTTGTTTGTTAGGAGGATTGACTTAAGGTTTTTCGTCGCAAAATTTAGGGTTTCATCTAATATATCTTCTCCATGGAATGCTATGTGTGCTGCCTCGTACAAGCTTAACAGTCCTTGTTCGTCCCTCGACAACCATTCCTTGAACCTTCCTTCACTATTCTTCAACTTTCTAAATCCATCTGCATAGCAGTTGATCATATATGATTGATGCATACAAGAGACGCATTAATGAACTAGCCATCAAATACAAACCAATTTAATAAAACACAAGTGCACATATACATACCTAGCGAAACAGGAAATCCTTGTTGTCTGAGGAGTCGGAAGCGAAGAGCTGCATGGTAGAGATCAGTGCCTCTGCCATCGAAGTTAGTGAATAAATCCTCTCCCATGTCATGTACTTTTTCAAGTGCTTCTTCAATTTCTGCTTCAAAGTGGTACCCGACACCTAATCGTTGAACTGCATGCATCTATCAGCCGCAACTTGTCTGCAACTATTGCCTTATCGTCATCTCCACGACTCTTTGTTTCATTTAACACCAACTTCCTCACATCTTCCTTGAGAACTTCATGTTCCCGGTGTCGTTGTTCCGTCTAAAATGAAGTTGATTAAAAAGTTCAAGTGAACCAAAATGTTTTCCGTCTTTGATTTTTGTTCATGATATATATATAAATCTCACTAACAATCCAAAACCAAAAGAACGAAAACAGGTAAGGAACTTTCAATTCTAATATGCCATTTGGTAAATAACCTGTAGGGACAGACCAACTTTGTCGAGGAAGTCATCACGCCAGACTGTGTCGGGGTAGCTTGCTGATGAAAACCGATCCACTGCGCCGGCGGTTGCATTCTTCTGGCCTGCCGCCCTAGCGGCGGAGGTAGCAGCAGCTGCTGCAGCTGCCTGAAGTGGTAGTGATGAAGAAAACATGATATGTATATATAGCAAAGCAAATATATAAATGGGTGGTTTAGGATGAGAAAAGTGGCCATGGAGTGTCAACTATATATAGCGGCCCGGGCAGCCGAAATAAAGAAGAAAGACAAACTAATGTGCCTATCCATTAATCTATTAATACAAAGTCCATCACCATTATATAAAAAAACAAAACATGTAATCTATTATATATTGTGTTTTAAAAACACATATTTTTATCCAATAACAATCAGTGAATTTGTTGGGCCACTAACCATCTAACCCTCTTCTGCTCTTCTGGGAAGGACGGTATTTCTGGGGGAATGGAAATGGATAAAAGAAGGTAGATAGGGGTTTTAGATATGAGAAAGATGATATGGTGGCGGAAGGTAGTTGGAATTTGGGTGGAAGCGTTGCGTTGTCCATTCTTTTTTTACATTTTAAAAAAAAATCCAGGTAAGCAGTACGTGAATGCCGCACCGCAGATAAACACACCCATGCACTGTTGATTTTTTTGTCAAACTGCCGTTGGAGTTGGAGTTCTTCCTGTCCTGACAGAAATTAATTAGTAGACACGCACGGAGGATCTGTTCTAGATATTGGGTTCGATTGTCATGGCCGCCACATGCATTAAGAGATGCTTTCTGCTCAGTGTTGTCAGCAAGCAAGCTTCACAATCACAGGTTGTGTTGATTGAACGTTATGCCTGCCAATGCTTTCTTAATTCAAAGATGCACCGGATCAATGAACAATGAAGGTGATGTGATCCTTCAGATGGTGGGAGTTGGCGTAGCGATCATCAATGTCATAAAACACACTGACGGAACGTGTCAAGTTGAAGAAACGATCGGTAAGAATTACTGACAATGGAGTAGGTCTTTGATACTGTTTAGCAATGTCTTTCCAACCGTAAAAAAATCTTCTTCACGGCTATATAAATATCATATTGCAAATCAATTTAGCATCTTTCAAATCAATTTTAATAAGTGAAGATATTAACCAAGTTGTAGGTGGCAGGTGCTGAAACGCGAGTCATCTTCAGAAAGATAGTAAAAAATCCGTGACCGTATCTATTTATGATCTTGTTTTATACTAAATTAATGTTTAGGCCAAATTTAGAGACATCATCAATTTTTATAATTGATTTGAAATTTAGCACCTTTCAGATCACTATTAATAAGAGAAGATATTAACCAAGTTGTAGGTGGCAGGTGCTGAAACGCGAGTTATCATCAGAAAGATGATAAAAAATCCGTGATCATATCGTATCTATTTATGATCTTGTTTTATACTAAACTAATGTTTCGGCCAAATTTAGAGACATCATCAATTGTAATAATTGATTTGAAATTTAGCATCTTTCAAATCAATAAAGACAAATCAATGAAGATATTAATCAAGTTGTAGGTGGTAGGTGGTGAAACGTAAGTCATCATGAGAGAGATGGGGAAAAAAATCCGTGACCGTACGGTATCTATTTAGGTTATTGTTTTGTACTAAACTAATGTTTAGGCCAAATTTATTTTTTTTGATAAGAAGCCCTGTATGGATTTTATTAAAACTCAGCAAATCTGGGCTTTCTCAGCCTCTAACAAACTCCTAATGGAGTTTGGTGGACCTTCAGTCCAAATACACATTTGGTTCACATGGGAATTTAAATGGGCCAGGCAATGGGCTACTGAATTTGAGCTTCTAGGCACAAAAGCCCACACCACCTTTCTTCCAGAAATGGACGAGTTGGAGTCCGCCAGCTTCCTAATCTCCTTGCACCAGATCCCCAATTCAGTTCTGTCCTCCTCTTCCTTATCCAGCAACTTGATCAGGTTAAGGCAATCGGTCTCCACAATCAAGGGGCTCCACTCCCTTCGGTTAGCTTCTCTCAGACCAGCAAGTATTGCTTTAGCTTCAGCCTCCACTGGCTTACATGATCCCGATTCCTTCCCTGCAATCGCCCCCAGGAAATCACCATTCCAGTTCCTGAACACACAGCCAAACCCAATCCCCGACGGATTTAGGATCCCCGCGTCGCAGTTCAACTTGATGGATCCGGTTGGCGGTGGTGACCATCCTTGGTTGCTAGTGGCTTGTCTTGCATGCTGGGTATTGGAGCCCTGGGCCTGGAGGTAATTTATGATCCATTCGATAGCTCTAGGGATGATTTCCTCCTCTTCCAGCTTTTTGTTATTGAACATCTGATTACATCTTTCCTTCCAGATGAACCATAGGATTGCGCAGAACCTTTGGAGGTTGTCATTCGGCTGGGATTCGAACACCTTGAGAAACCAATCATGGCCGGAGAGGCCTTCGCCCTGCAGAAAGATTTCTCTGTCATCGTAAGATTGCCAAAGGCGCCGAGTCCAAGCACAGTCCCTAAGACAGTGGAGCTGTGTTTCCGGAAGACCACAGAAGGGGCAATCAGATGGGGCTTCCTCGATTCTACCTTCGATGTTTGTTCCAACTGGTAAGATGTCCCTGCTTATTCTCCATAGGAAAACTTTCACTTTGGGTTGAATGGGAAGGCTCCAAATCTTTTTCCAGTAGCTTCTCAGTCTTTGCACCCTGTTATCATTATTATCTTCCTGCATGTGACTTCTCCTCCACAGCTTCTTATAGGACGATTTAACACTGTAGATGCCATTGTCCGTTTCAGTCCATAGAATTGAGTCATCAGCAGGGGGTGTTCTTAGGGGGATTCTCGAAATCTCAGCTTGAGTAGTGTCTGTGAATAAAGCCTGTAGTATTGAGATATCCCACCAGCCACTGTCCTTGTCAATGAGGGAGCTGACCCTTAGGTTTTCGTCTTGCAATGTATTTTGGTCTGCTGGTGATGGTTTCTTCATATTGGGAATCCACCAGTCTCTCCAGACCCTGATGTTCTCCCCGTTACCAACTCTCCATCGGAATCCATCCACAATTTCATCTTTTGCCTTCACAATGCTTCTCCAGATAAAACTTGGGTTACTCCCTGCCTTAGCCTCCAATAACTCACTCCTGGGGAAGTATCGGGCTTTAAGAATTTTAGCCATAAGTGAGTTAGGCCTGTTTATGATGTTCCAGATTTGTTTCCCGAGCATTGCAATGTTGACAGTTCTCAGATCTTTGAATCCAAGTCCTCCATTATCCTTTGGGCGACATAATTCATCCCAATTAAGCCAGTGAATCCTCTTTTCTTCCTGTTTCTGTCCCCACCAAAATCTCGCTATTAAGCCTGAATCTCATGAAGAATACCCTCCGGGATGTAGAAAACCATCATAGGATAGATCAACTGAGCTTGAGCGACTGCTTTGATTAGAATTTCTTTCCCTGCAGCAGACAAAGAGAGGCTCTTCCAGTCTTTTAATTTCTTTCTGACCCTTTCTTTCAGATCCTCAAAAACGTCCCTCTTCGATCTTCCAATCACAGTAGGTAATCCGAGATATTTTTGATGTTTTTCAACCACTGTAATTCCCAGGGTCCCGCTGATCTCCAGTCTTCTACTCCATTTTACATTTTTACTATAGGAGACTTCGGATTTGGTGAGATTTATGCACTGCCCTGATTCCTTTTCGTAGATCTTCAGGATCTGTTTCAGTTGTTCACTTTCCTCAATCGTTGCCCTGCCAAAAATTAGGCTGTCATCCGCGAACAATAAATGTGATATTGTTGGAGCTTTGTGGCAGATCTTGATGCCATGAATCCTTCCTTCCCTCTCAGCTTTCTTTAGTAGAGCCGAGAATCCCTCAGCACATATCAGAAATAGGTAGGGCGACAGGGGATCGCCTTGCCTGAGTCCCCTGGACGGTTTAAACTCGCTGGATCGATGTCCGTTGACTAGGACTGAGTAGGAGACGTTCCTGACACACATCATTACAAGTCTGATCCAGTTCTCATTAAAGCCCAGCTTTCGCATAACCCTTTGGACGTACGTAGCCGGTTCTATTACTATAACAAAAAATTTCGGCCCAGCCCCACTGAACCATACCATGTTTCTGATCGTTAATTATTTTTTTGTCAGTCACGTATAATTAAGGATTTCCATATATGCATCCCCATAGAGATTCGAGAATGGGAAAATGGGCTACCCTCAGGTTAAATTAAACTAATGTTCTTTTTGTTAATTATTTTTTGTCAATCACGTATAATAATTAAGGATTTCCATATATGCATCCCCATAGAGATTCGAGAATGGGAGAATGGGCTAACATTTGCCAACGTTGGATGCTCCCCTGAGATGAAATTAAGCAGTAGATGCCTCGTGCAGATTAACACATGCAGTTCTGTTCATTTTGTCGACTGCCTTCATTGCACCACCCGCTCGCTGATCGAGAGTTATGCCAGAAATCATGCATGTGCCAGATTTGGGAAAATTTAGACCTGGATATCCGGAATGCCCCAACTTGGGTAATATCATTTTCTCACTGTGTACTTTTTTAATGTGGATGTAAATTGAACCTTCTTTAAAAGGGGAATGAGGAAGATTTGAATATATGATATAATGATAATGCTTGTGGAATATGAATGATTGATGTGTTCAAGCGAGTGAATTTAGAACGTAGTTGTAAAAAATATATAGAATT